CCTTCCTTCCTTCCTTCCTTCCTTCCTTCCTTCCTTCCTTCCTTCCTTCCTTCCTTCCTTCCTTCCAACACATCTCTGTCGACCACTCAGTCTCGCTCCCCCGCGGCGAGTGCAACTAAACGAGAACCCAAGCATCGGAGATGCTTTTGGGAAAAAAGGTTTGACCCAGGAAATAGGGAGATAACCGCCAACAATGGGGACATCATGGGATATACCCTCTAGTAAACTAACATAGCTATGGAAAATCACCATTTTTAATGGGTAAATCAACTATAAATCACAATTTTCAATAGCAAACTGTTAGTCATTACCAGAGGGTAAGCACTATCCCGAAATTGGAAGATAGGTCACCCCGGTTTTTCCCACTGGATGATACAGTTCGACCCTGGTCATGGGGGGCTTATAAGATCAGGGTCCAGTTGTTCATTTACCAGAGAGTAACCCACAGAATGACGAGATCAAGTATGTTCATTGATGTTCTATCATTTGACCAATTGTAACCCATTAGAACCCATTGGCTCACCATTTTTTGAGGTATACCCTCTCCTAAACGTTTATATCACGAACTGGAAAATCACCATTTTTCATGGGAATCCAACGCTTTCTATGGCCATTTTCCATGTCGCAACCTGTTAGTTTACCATTGGTAACTAACATGTAGTGCTTTGATTTACCCATTGAACATGGTGGTTTTGTCGCAAGCTGTTAGTTTACCAGAGGAGAGAGAGAGATATATATATATATACCATTATCACCCCCATTATCATCCCACTGTTGACCCACTATTAATCCACTATTCATCCATTACTATCCACTAATATCCACATAATTAAACCCATATTATAGTTGATTTTCCCATTAAAACCTCCATTTTACCATTGGTCAACCACAGGATTTTCAAGCCATCGCCGCCTTGTTGACCTTGGCCATGTGCAGCCGTTCCTTCAGCTGCCGCAACTCCTCGGAGCCGTCGCAGATGCGGCGCTTGTCCATCCTCGTTTCGATGGCCATGGGACTTCTGGAAGGTACACTTTATAATGGGGGATTGTAAATGGGTGTGTCTGAAAATAGTGTACCCCTAAACCCAATGGTTAATGATCATTATCCCTATTAAATGGCTATAATAGGGAATATACCCTATTTTCAGACAAACCCAAATAATAATGGGTTCTATAATAATACGACTAGAACATCAATGGTTCCACTAAAGTGAATAGTAAGTAAATGATAGGACTAGAAATGGAGGATTCATCATCTATAATAATAATACAGACATTTACAATCCATTTATAATTGGAGGATTAAACATGGATGATTATAAATTGGAGGATATGATAGTAATATAGACATTTAAAAACGATATAGACATTTATATTCCATTTATAACCCATTTATAGCACTAGAAATGGGACTGTTGAGGGTAATATAGTAGGATATTGGGAATGGATTGTAGATGACTATTAATTATAGGATAATATAGTTGGAGGATTGTAACCTGGGTTGATAAGGAAGCCAGTTGGAAGCGCATTTTGACGCTTACTCTCCCCTTTTGGCGATGGGATTCGGGAATCCCAGTGGTCGAGTTGAATCTGAAGCTGATGTTAGTGGAAATTTGACCCGGTTCATCAGGTGTGCTACCTGGGCAAAAAAAAATATCCACATGTATATATGTATATATATATATGTATATATATATATATACAGGTATAGATATATATATATATATAAAGACAGCATTCACTCCTTTTCTGAGCACTAGCAAGGCCCAATTTGTCAAAAGTTAAACAATTCGAGATAGTATAATCCAGATCTTAACATACTCTTGGATAAAGGGGCCCCGACAATCCAACCCCCAGCCTTGCCGAGGGGAAAAGATTGCCCCCCAAATACCTCCTACATACCTCGCCAAGCCGAGGCTAGTAGGCTCAGTATTAATCCAAAGAAAGATAACAGCAAAGAATCTTTCCACGCCTTCTCCAAGGCAAACAACTCACTTCCACTCATCCAAACGGAAAATCAAACGGAAAATCTCGGGGCCTGTCCCTCCCACAAAAGCGGTGGGGGGGGAGGGAGCTAAAGCCTAAAATGCTACATCAGAAATACCATGAATGTGTCTTTACTCCCGGGTCGGGGAACCAAAGACAGCATTCACTCCTTTTCTGAGCACTAGCAAGGCCCAATTTGTCAAAAGTTAAACAATTCGAGATAGTATAATCCAGATCTTAACATACTCTTGGATAAAGGGGCCCCGACAATCCAACCCCCCGCCTTGCCGAGGGGAAAAGATTGCCCCCCAAATACCTCCTACATACCTCGCCAAGCCGAGGCTAGTAGGCTCAGTATTAATCCAAAGAAAGATAACAGCAAAGAATCTTTCCACGCCTTCTCCAGGGCAAACAACTCACTTCCACTCATCCAAACGGAAAATCAAACGGAAAATCTCGGGGCCTGTCCCTCCACGTCCCCCAGTCCTTCCCGATACGGGAAAGCTCAAGCATTTTCACCAAGCGGGTAGTTTAGTCCGCACAGCATTTACATATACACCGTGAAAAGGAAGCAACTTAGACTGTGGGATTTGCATCTCAGCTAGCACCGCAAGTCCTTCATTTAAATAAGTACGTGCAGTACGGGCGGCCATCCATCGCCCCTGCAACAAGATGCGGTCTAGAGAACCGTGTTTACTGAACCAAAAAGTAGCTCCACCACGCCGTAAAGAATACGGTCGGAAATCCCAATTTAAAAGTTCGAGGGCTTTCACAGCGTCAGAGAACATTTTCCGCCAGGTATGAGGAGATGGGGTCAGAAGGCTACCAGGAGGTGTAGCTTGTTTCCATTGATAAAGACGGCGAACTACTTCCAGCACTGACACTGACACACTCTCTGCTGCGCCAGAGCGTTTACCTCCCTTGGTATAACCGAGAGAAATAATTGCAGTAGTCTTAGCCTCATCGATGGTCACATCTCTGTTACGGATGCCTAAAAGTTCGCCAGTCCTCAACATACCATAAAAACCCAACAACAAAGAAACAGCCATTGCAGGCTTGTGGTGGAACACAAAATAACCAACTAATGACTGTAAGACCTTCTCAGGAAAAGGTGGGGCTCGATTCGGGATTTCATTCACATGCCATGCTTTCAGGAGCCTCCAAGCTCCCGGAAGACACCCACGTAGTTTGGGGCTAGCATCTTGCAATGCTGCAAGTGTGTCAGATGCCAACGCCCGGCCTTCGCCAGTGGCCCACAGGTGTTCCAGGTACTCACAGACGATGCCATCCATGTGGGCTCTTAACGTAGGGAGTTGAAGCTGGTTGTGCTCCAAATAAGCATAGAATTTCTGTTTTGCTTTGTCATAGCGCGCTCTAGTTCGAGGTTGGATAGTGAGACTTTTCAGGGTACCTAAATTCTGACGTGTTTTGGCTCTCTCTCGTTGGGTCCGCCCTTCTAGATGCTTTTTAGCTTTCGCCATTTTTGACACTTGATCCGGCGGCTGGGCCGGTCCGCGGGGTTCAAAGAGGTGTGGACATAGGTCCACACTGGATGAAGGTTGGACGCCAATAAGAGAGAGTTGATGCGCATGATGGTACGCCGCAGCTTCACACTGGAGCTTCGGCCCCTGGTGAGGGCATGCAAAACTACCAGGGAGTCAGTTAAATGTACCATTCTGCATCCCCACGTCTTTCGTTTTTGAAGTACCCATTTGATTGTTGTCAATGCTGCGCGCATTTCGAGGAGATTGATATGATCTCCCGATGTCCTCCATTGCCATCCGGTGATCTCCTTCCACTTCCACAACTTAGCTGGGATAGTTTGACGGAGCCGTTGATGACCAAGCAATGTCTCTGAAGACGCTTGTAGGAGAAGGTCCTCTCCCTTGGTGGAGGTCAAGCCTGACAGTCTCCGCGCTAGGCCAGAGTCAGGGTATACTCCGCTAACCTCCCGACGGACAGGAGGACGCTGGAGCACTGTCTGCAAACGCACCCCTTGACCGGGCGCACAACGGTTCACCAATTCCTGGACAGTAGCCCGAGGACAGATGCCCAAACGCTCGAAAAGTTGCTTCAAAAGGAGGAGAACCACTGGTACCGACCAGGAATTCCCCAAAAGGGTCATTCGTGCATCTATGAATTCAGAGCCATGACGAGAGGCCTTCGGCCAACATTGTTCGGTATAGTTGGCAGGGAACCCAAGGATGGTTTCCCTTTCTACAACAGTTGCCATACGAACCGCACCCGAGGAATGGTGGGCACAGTATTCTGGCCTGTATTGATAAGGAGGGTATCGATGCAGGTCAGCCTCCCAACGCTGTCGAGTCTCAGCGTCGCAGCCCTGAAGGCCAGCAGGCCTCCTCCCAGGGCGAGGAGAAGGACGAGCTGTAGTGAACGTAGGAAATCGGTGTCCAGGAGGCAGAGACCACCCAGGTTGAAGAAAATCCTTTTGGTCCACCACGGCAGTGAGCTCCACTGATTTGACAGCCATCCACTCCAATCCATCCATAGGTTGGGGGGTCAAGCCCTCTTCAGGGGTGAGCTCCCAAGTCAACCAATACAGCCGGGGACGCCGTGCGAGGCTCACTCCAGCAGCATCCACACGGTATGGGATCTACAAAGAGATGGACTTGTGCCCAAGGGAAGAATTGGTGGACGAGGTCTCTCACCCGAGGGATCTCTTTGTAGAGTGCACTGCGCAGATCCCGTTGTGACCCCTTTCTATCTGCATTCAGCCCGCTGACCCCTTGACAGGGAGGGCCAGCGCCGAGGAGTACCACCCCGACCGAGGTGTATGTGCACGCCCAAGTTTGGACCTCTTCCGCTGTCACCCCTTCCACGGAGGAGACATGTCGAGTCCCAGGGAAGCTGGCTTCTACAACCCTATTTGCAGCAGCATTGCACTCCACACTTATGTGGCCAGCAACCGGGAGGTGTAGCAGTTCCGCCGCTACTCGCAAAGCTCCAATCCCGTCGAACAGCCCAACGGTCAGGACCTCGGTAAGCTCAAAGGGCTCTTCCGTCTCCCCTCGGGTCAGTGCAGCTTGCGCCAACAGCCCATAGGAGGTGAGTCCCACAGTTGCGCAAAGTCCACCCCCTGACATTGAGGCATCGCTAGCGGTAACCTGCGGCTCCATGGGCAACCGGAAATCCATCTGAGCCAGTGGTACCAGTGCCAGAAAACGCATGACTTCCTCTTTTACCTCCAAGGGGACAGCGCGGCGGGCCACTGCAGAGTCCCCCTTCAGAGTTTCAATGTGGCGCCATATGGCATTCAACCCACATAAGAGGGGCCTGCGGAACATGCAGATGTAGACCAGCCCCCCCGCAATGACCTGTAATTCCCGCTGTGTAGCCCGACCTCTGTGGACCAGTTCCCAGGCAAGTCCCATATACTTCAGGATTTTATCAGGCTTGGCATACGCCACTCCTGCGTTGCCATCAATCACAGCCCCCTGCACCTCCGCTGTCAAAGCCCCTTCTACGGACTTACCTGGATGACGAGGCAGCTGTACGGCCGCATACTCTGATCTCATTGCCTGCTGTTCTTCTGAAGGCTTCCCTTCAATCTCGGCAGCCAGAAGACGGTCCACCTTCCGAATCTGGTCCCAGTTGTCCAGATACACCCGGAACAGGTCCCGGGAAACCGTAGGAGGGCGATCCCGTCGCAACTCCCGCTCGCCGCCACCAGCGGATCCCGCCTTTTTCAAGGCCCAGCCAACAACATTGCGATGAATATGTTGGGCCAGCCCAACGGAGTTTAGAAACCCCATGGGCAAGACCCGTGCCACCAAGTGGCAAGGCTCACCCTGAAACTCAGGTGGGCACAAGCAGGAGGGAACCTCCCCGGAAAACCCCATGTATCGTTGCCAAGAGGAGGGAATTTTAAACAGGTAATAAAAACATTTAATGTCTTCACTGGCCATCATGGCAACCTCCCCTTCCTCCAAATAAAAAGCGTTCAACCCTGCTACGGTGGGGAGTGTGTCCACCGCTCCCTTGAAGGGCAAACATAGTTGGTTTAGAGGCACCATATTCATGATCAATCTGTGCAGTTCCACTCCATCTTTAAACTCGTTCTTGGACACCGCAAATAAACCGTTCAGTAATGGGGTAGAACCAACATGAAACAAAGACCGTTTGGGGAGGATGCCACAAATCCCAGTTCTCACCAGTCCCGCGCAGACCTCCGGCCAGTCCACGTCGGCCACCATCGTACGCGGCACACGGCCCAGATGTTGCTGATCCTGGGGCCGCAGAAAACACTCAAAATCATTAATATAAGATAGACATCCCCCCGTGCAGAAGTCTTTGATTGCCAAAGTACCCACTTCATCAGGAAATGCAGCTGCAATACACTCCCAGTTAAAGGAGCGGGCCAGTTTAATCTCTTCCCCTCGATAGTCTACTCCCTTGACCCTGAACAGATCTTCAAAAGAAATTTGGGGGACAACCTCTTGCCAAAGAAAACAACGCTGTAAAAAGCCCATCACGGTCTGCGCCACTCTTTTTTGCAGGGCAGTTGGCACCTGATTGTTCGTCTGGCCTGAACCATACATAGAGTTCAGTCCACGCAGCACGGCAGTCAGCCATGGTTGCATCTCAGGTTGAACATGGTAGCAGCCCCCCAGAGGCAAGGGAAATAAAAAATCCTTTGCCGTGGTCATGGCCTTGCTAGAACGTTTCCATTGAAAATTCTGAAGGGACCGCAGCACATGTTCACCCAGCTCGGAGAAACGCAGGCCCTCAAGCCTAACTGGTAAAAGCCCAGCATCTGTGCGGTGAAACGGCCCAAGGCCTGGCATCGCAGACCCCTCAGGCTCCTCAGGGTTTTCAGGCGCCCCCCCCGTGAACGTCTCCTGTAATTGCAAAGGGGGGGCGCCCTCTATTGAATTCTGTTGCATTGTGGAGTCCTCCACAGGAGAGAGGCGCTGCCAGTCGTGAAGTGGCCTCTCCCCCACAAAGTCGTCACACTCCTCATGCCACATCCCGGGTGACACCCAGGCATCCTCATCTCTTGTCTCCTCACACCTCAAAGATCCATTTTGCCCACCTTTGTTGTTAGGGGTTCCCAAGTTCAACCCCCCTTCGCTTTCTTTGCATCGTCCTTGTTGCCCTCTCCTTTCCTCTGATCGCCCTTTGAAGTCTTCCCTTTGCCTTGCCCCTTCTTGCCTGCACCCTTGGTCCACTCCTCGCCTTTGCTGGTTGAAGTACCCCGGGCTCCATAAGGCCTGGCCGCCTCCAGGCGAGCTTTGCCCTCCTCCCGCGCCCTCCTGGCGGCCTCCTGAAATTCGGGAGTCGTAGAGATGCCGCTCATCTCCCTGGGCAAAATCTCTTGTTGCTGGGCAACCGTGAAATGCACACCGGTCATCTGCATTTCCAGTGCTTTGACTCTCTGAGAGAGTAAATCCAGAGCCTCTACACACCTCCCCTTGAGGAGGTAGTCGATCGCCTGGCACAACGTCTGAGTTTCGCGTGCCATAGCCGGTGACATCCTCGAGGAAAGTTGTTGGCGGTAGTACCTCGAGAAGATGGCCGGAAGCGGCCCCACATCTGTCTCCCAAGTCCCTCCCTCTTGGGAGATAAGGGACTCTGAGGCCTCTTCGATGGCAGCTGCCACCAGAGTGCCAGGCAGACGACGGCCTATCACCTGGACTTTGCTCGCTGATCCGAAGAGCGTGTTGTCCCCAGGAGCCCCCTCCAGGGAGCTCCCTGACGAGCTGCTGTCCGAACTGCTGGAATGGGCCCTCTTCTGTCGCGCCAACTTGGCCGCCTTGCGTCTGAACTTCCTCCGAACCGAAGGGTCCGGGTCTGCTCCCGTATGCCTCAGGAGGAGAGACACATCCTTCCGTGCCTCGACCTTCAGCTCGCTCTTCTTCTTGCGACGCCGACTGCGGCTCCGTTTCTTCTCTTTGGGCCTCATTGGAAGGGCGTCCTCTGCACGGCCGGCTCCTTGACCTCCAACAGCGGCTCCTCCTAGTTGCGCCATGTCGGCTCGTAGATCGGCCGGCTGGTCTTCTTCTCGAGGCCCTCCTTCTTCGGGGACTAGATTGGTCATCCAGCCTTCTCGAAGATCGCCCAGACGCCGCAGCGCTTTCACATGGAGATATCCCTCCACGTGAGGAGTCCCAGGACACCCCGCCCCGCACAGATGCACCTCCACCATGCGGTCTTTCCACGTTGTAGCTGCTTTCAGGAAGCCCTCGCTCTGGGTCCCCAAAATCTGAGCTTTTAGGAGGAGCTCCTCCCCTTTGAAGAAAACCTCCTTGACGCGGAGAACAGCCTTCACGGGTTCCTCCCAGTAGCTGCCCTCGGTCACCTCGATGTCTTTCAACCCTTTGCATTGGGCCAGGGTGATGTCAGCGCTCACAATGGTGTCCTCCCCAGCCCTACCAGGAGGCACCACAGCTGCCGGCCGCCTTAAGCGGATCACAGCAGCAGGCCGACGCCGCTTGGGCGGCATCTAGCGTCGAGCGCCTCTCCAGAAGCGGCGCCGGTTGTAGTCGGCACGACGCTTCCGCTTGGTCACCCCCTTGTTCTTCTGATAGTGTTTCCCCTGTCCAGGAGGCGGCTCTCTGCGACGAGCTGGAATAGGTCCCTCCCAGCGTCTACCAAGAGGCCTCCCACTAGGCGCAGGTCGATGATCTCGATGATGTGGAGGTGGACGTGAAGGGCTGCGGGGCACGTACTTCCTCCTCTTCAGCTCCTCTCGATCGTCTGAACTCTCGTCTGCTCTTGACCCGGTAGGCCGCACTGGGCTTGCAAGGCGTCTAGGAGGGCTCTCTTGACGGCCCCTCCCGCTTCTAGATCTCCTCTTTGACTTTCTACTCCTTTGGGGCGACTTTGAACGATGCTTCTTTTTCTTCTCTTTCTTGGGCTTGGTAGGCTTGGATGATGAGGCCACAGCTTTCTCAGGAGAACCTTCTCCCTCTGGAGTTTTGTCCACTGCTGAACCAGGGGCAGCCCCGTCAGGTGGCACGGCCGGGGGTGCCTTAGCGCTCAACCCCACGGGAGGCGGACCTGCAGGAGGAGGAGGTGGATCTGCTTCCTCACTCTTCACAAGTCCAGGCACTGGCGCCGGCACAGGAGAGATGCCCACTGGATTAGGCACTACACCACGTGTAAGCTCTCCCAAATCTTGCACCTCGGCCACCCAATCCCTCAGGCGGTGCAACAGCACCCCTTCACTGCTTCGAGGGAGATACGGGCTACGGATCAGACAGGCCAGTCTGTCCAGCGTCCGACAAACCTGGCAAATGCCCCCGCCACCTGCTTCCCACTTTCCACTGCAGAGAAGACACGGGCTAGGGGGCATCAAAGCTAAAGCCTAAAATGCTACATCAGAAATACCATGAATGTGTCTTTACTCCCGGGTCGGGGAACCATAGGGATATATATATATATATATATATACGCACATGTATAATTATATATGCAGGACTAAATTCTATAGGAACCTTCGGGATAAAACCATCCGAGCAACGACCAAAACATACGAAATCACCAGCTTGCAGCAGCTTCCGACAACCGAGTGGCTCATAGCGCATGCTTTCTGCTTTCCGCTTGGACAACTCGTCAGCTAACCTGGCAATATGGGCAAGTCCCAGATTTATAGCGTTTTAAGAGGAAGAATGACGAGAATACCCTCTTTCCAGAAAAACAATTTTCCATGCAATATGGGAGCCCGGAACAATAGGAAAGTTGGTTCATAAGTAGGTGTCCGAGGCTGTACGAGATGTATATTTACATATTGTTGGATGGGTGAAACTATGTAACTTATATCTGGGGGGTCCTGCATTGTAGACATTCCCAAATGCTTTCCAAACAGCACCAGGGCTTCTTATTGGAAGAGTGGCGGGGAATGACCATGGGAATGGGGGCGTCCCATATCCCATGCAATCCATCTTTGGTGTTCTCAACCAGCGCCTGATGGATTTCCGGATTCCTTTCCCACTATTTGACCCGGCACAAAAATAAGCTCCAGAACCACACATGTATATATATATAAATATATATATATATACGTATATAATATATTTTGATACAGATCTTTCCATCAATATTCTGTTGGTATTTTACTCAACTAGTACTTGGCAATTATCTTTCATATTGTTCATACCGCTGATACTTGTAAAAATCTTAGAAACTATCATGTTGGTATGGGGTACCCACAAAACTCCTGAGTCAATAGCTTTGACAGCCATATCTTGCTTTTGCCAGTGCACCCAAAACGGGAATATCTAGGAGTCTACACAATGACAAACCGAATGCTATCAGAGTAAGCCCAATCATAATGCATATACCCACTATTAAAAAACATGATAGCCAATAAAGATTATGATTCTGAAAAAAATGGTATATACATATATATATATATATTCTAGATTATATAATTGGGCTTCCCCGTCATGGCTTTGTCATTTCTCTGACCCACAAGGTTCATGCCGAATCCCGGCAAAGGCCATCCTTTTGGGACGAAAATCATCCAGACTCACAGAGAAGAAACCCTCGGACTTGCTGCTTGTTATATATACGGCAACTACATTTAAATATACGGATTTTTACATATACCAATAGGTATTTTAGACTACCTCCGGGAAAGTTTTCCTTTGCTCGTCCAGCCATTTAAACATACGGAATCAAATTCATTTAAACATACTGCAACTACATTTAAATATACGAACTGGTATTTCATACTACCTCCGGGGCCTTGCCGTCTGGCCGGCCTCCACATATTTAAATGTCGTTACCGTATTTATACATGTATAATATATATGCATATTTCCATAGCATTCCCATGAAAAGAAAACATTTTATCGGTGTAACTTGTTGGGCCAAGCAATGTCAAGCATATCTGCGCGCCAAGTGACTGCTCTTCCAACATGGTAATCTGAGCTTTCCGGATCTTGTCCTGCTCCGCTTTCACATAGCCTCAGGTGATGTTTAAATGTGAGGTGAACAACTAAAGGTGATGAAGGATCAATGGAGAATCCAGGGATCATGATGATGATGATGATGGTGGTGGTGGTGGTGATGATGATGAGGGATCGATGGATTTGGTTGAAACCAAGGTGATAGAAAGGGAAATTTCAAAGGAAACCCACAACGTTTTACCATCACGTTTTACCATCTTTCATACCAGAATAGGGTACAAACTCATACTTTTTCAAATGGCGACAATAGATTTCCTCTATAAATATAACTAAACTTGTCCGGACCATAGACTATTTTCAACATATGTTCAAGTGATGCTCACCTGAAATGAGGTCGTCCCTTTCACACGGCCTGGTTATGTTATGATAATAGGTATTTTCACGATGACTTTGAAAATCACCAATGTATTATTGGATAGTAGAATCCCATACCAAGCAACAGGGGTTTTGAGCACTATAACCCAGTATATCCCAATCATGTCCCTATAGATTCCTTTTAAATCTTGTAGCCCCCCATTATACCTTCATTTTTGATGACACTTCTCAACCCCCCATGCTTTCGTTGTCATCATCGCAGGCTGCATCTGCTGGTGCCAGTGCCCTGACGTTATCTCATCGGATTGTGGGCTGACTTGAGTCCCCAATTTTGCTTCAATTTCCCGCCAGCATCAATTGATTCAGTTCAGTTGGGTGTTCCTATTCGCTACCAATTTCCTGTGATTACAACAAGCTACAATTATCATACCCCATTTTACCCAACAAAAACCGTCAAAATCGCTAGGATTTTCCCCCCATCACATCCCACTATCGCCGGCCAAGGCGCTATAGTCGGTCAGCAGCTCACGGCGTTCCGCGCCCTCCGACAACGCGCGGCGCTTCTTCTCGACCGTCAGGTCACTCTTGCCGTAGCCTCCGGCACAGTAGGAGGCGGGAAATCCTAGAGCCATATGGATTGCACTGTTTCACCATGTAATTGATTATGATTAAATATGACTGGGTTTAGAAAGTATAAGATTCTTGAAGACTGGGTTCCTGACAATTGTATATTCAAGAAGTGTTTGAATCTGAATATATGGAGCTGAGGAGCTTCCGACAAGAATGCTCAGTACTTAGACATGGGGTTTGACAACGGAAGCAACTGCGGCTTACTAAGCCTCTATTGGGTTTTATCAGCTTTAATCAAGGGTCAATGGTCCTCAAGGGAGCTTTTTGATTTCTCAAACTTTGGTCAATAAGTTGCGCACAAGCGTCAAATTTCACTAGGGTTTAAACCGTTGCAACCTACCTATGATTGTTAACTAGGAATCCGAATTACTGGTGCAACCCCTTGGTTAGTTCTATTCCCATTTGTTGGGGTTTATCCCATTTGATCCCTTTTCAACACATGTATGAACCTCACTGAAGCCATAGCATGTAGTTTTTTTGGGGATATCATCAAAATCCCAAAGCTATATGGCTTTGCAACAACATTAGCCGACCCCTAAAGGTCTAATTCCACTGGTTAATACGGGTTTCCCCTATTGAAATGGCAATTTTATATCCCGACTCTTGCGTCGGGTCTCCAATCTGGAGGATTTCTGAATCGGACAATTTGATTTAAGGCCATGGAATTGATATTATCGACTTCCATGTTGCAACACCTTCAATTGCATCTTGGGAAGGTGACGCTGCCATGATGGAAAAATATAGCCATACTAAGCTTTTGGCGGGGGACAGAAAGGAAAACTCCCAAGCAACGGCACTGCAAAGTGATACCAAGGTCCCATAGGGTGCAATAAGTTGGGATATGAGCCCCCTATAACTATGGGTTAAATCGATCCACTTATAACTGGAACACCGGCTCAGGCCTGCATAGATGTTGTTTTCCACCAATCTCTGCTTGAGTTCAGTTGTTCGCGCTTCCTGCTCACGCCTGCGGAGGATTTCACCAGTGCGCTGCGTGGACGTTGGGGATCATCATAATACCGTTGGGGAAAACAAAATATTGCTGCTTCATCTGTGGTAAACCCAATAGTATCAATAGTAAACGATCCCCAATAGAGCTTTTATTATTAAGTATACCATAGTATACCCTATTCTTGGGGTGATGGAAAATGACCCCCAAATGGTAGGTCAATGGCCACATAAGTGTTGTTGGTAGTATCCAATCATCTGTAGGTGGGACAAGTTCCTTGACATGTCCTCTTCAAACAGAAGCGGATTTCACCGGCCAACCGTCCAACCGTCCAACCGTCCAACCATCCAACTGCCTTCATCAGTTGATGTTAATCCTCCAAAACAGGAACTCTATCAGAGCGCCGATTCAAAAACACCTCCAGGATTTGCACTTGGTGATTTTGCCCTACTTGGAAATATTGAATATCTATGCCCATGACTGATGAAAAAACCATCCAGAACCAGAATGTACCATCTAATTTCGCTTGTCTTTGGCTAACTTAAGAATGCAGTAAATATACACAATATCAGTCATAATCCGTGAGCAAGGAATCACATTTGACCAACAGTTACTTTGGTATCATGAAACTGTGGAGCAGGTTTTTGATACTGCTGATTTGTATTTGCGGGTCAAGTAGCTCAGGCATCTAGGCCATTGCTGCATCAAATGCCCTCAATGACGAGTAATCATCCTAAACTATTCCATGCTGACCGGAGCAGCATCACTGCAAACACTATGAAAATCCAAAAGCAACATGAGTAACACTACTAGTAACATACTTGAGGTTACTTGTTGTTATTTTCATCCTAGTACGAACAAATGGGTCATTTAAAAAACATCAGCCCCCCCCTCAGTAGTATTTGAACACGGGCATATTTCCAATCGTCCTTATCGGAACTCTGTGCTTGGATTTTTCTGGGGGTTTGGCAATGGTTCACGAGGAGGTTATACCCCAAAAGTCCACAATGTTATCCATGGTAAATGGGTTGTAGATGGGGGATTCTGAATTCTCTTAAAACCCATTACTTAGTGATATCGCAACCCTCAATTTACATCTTTGGCCTCTTTTCATTTTTGGGTATAGCAACCTTCGAAAATATAGAAAAAATACAAACCTGGAGAGTATGGGGAAAACATCATCGATACCCTCTGGTAAACTAACGTAGCTATTGAAAATGGCCATAGAAATAGTGGATTTACCCATTAAAAATGGTGATTTTCCATAGTTATGGGACAGTTTACCAGAGGGTAACAACCTGGGTTTCTATATTTACTGATTATTCCAGTAATGATTTTCCATAGCATGACATGGCATGCCCAGATCGCGCCACCGCCTCTTGATGATGCGCTGCTCAATGCATCGCTTGGTGCTCAACATCTTTGCACCGGTGAAACGAGACGGGTGGAGCACACCAAAGTTGGACCGCTTTGGAACTTTGGACGGTGTCGGACTTCAGTGGCTGGATTGTCCTGAAAAAAATGGTGAAACCTTGGGAAGACTTGAAGATTTTGAAATCGCTTGCCTTGTTGATGCTTCGCAAGGAATCAAATTTACTTCCTGAGCCAGAAAGTGGCAACAAAGTTGAATCTACCTTTTGTCCAGGCAAACCTGAATCAAGAAAACCCTGTGAGATTCTCATGGGTTTACTGATGTAGACCGCTACAGTGTAGCTATCCTCAATCAAACATCGCTAGCACCGCTAGCTGGGACATCCCCGAAATAAATGGGCATTTCAATGGGGCAACGGGGCAACCATCAAACCAACTACATATTACATGGGGTGTTTCCATCAAGACATGTTCGATTACCAAAGGGTAGGTGAAGTGCTTCCCGCTTCCCCCCCTCCTTGGTCAACATGTTTCGAAGCATCGTCCATGGTGAAGCTTACATAGCCTTAGATATCCACTATGTACCAAGGCTAATTTCAGATGCGCCATCACACGCTGAGTATGGCGGAAATGGCACAAAAAAATCCCCACAGCAACCAGCATCGACAAGCATATGGGCAAACAGCAAATTGCTCTGTTTCGGAACCTGACAAAAATGGGTAGGGTAAACTAACATAGATGGGGAACACCATTTGTAGATCATCAAAATCTACAGAAAACCAATGGGTTTTGCACATCTTTTTGCATGTTTATCTGTGAAATGATTCCACTGATGCAATGTGGGGCCCGGTAGCTAAGTTGGTGAACATAACTCTCATTTCACTATGGTTTATGATACCTATAACTAAAGTATTCATGGGGTTTAGAAACCAACAAACATCGCTGGGGGGCCCAGTTATAGTAACCATCTACCTGATGCCAGAAAGGTTATCCGCAATTTTTTCCACTGCACTGTGCCGCGCTGCGGAGGGAGCGCCCTGAAACGCGCGCTGAAGCTTCACCTTGAATGAAAATGCATGGTGGATGACAGTAGCAACAACCAGATGATAATGATAGTACCACCATTTCCCAATAGTACAAGAATGATAATAGTAGTCATTATCTCTAATGGTGTGAAAACAAACATTAGGGGCAATGACAGTAATGATATAGTAATAATGATAGCAGTAACAATGGCACTGACAATGATGATGATGGTGGTGGTAGTGGTGGTGGTGATGAGTTTTTCTAAGATGTTATCAAGCATACATCGGATTATACCAACATCATGGAGTGACGGAGCCTACCCAATCGCCTTTGGAAACTGTAGCAATGGCGAGCTGGTACCTGGTGAATAGTCCATATGTTCACTCTCAAATCCGAACCCATGGAAAATCTAATCCAACTAACTTCCAACCCATGGAAATCACCTATAATATTCATCTGTGATCATTTACCAGTAGTACCGCACAAGGCGGTGGCGGAAGTTTCAAACATAGGAAACCTATAGGAGAGGTTGGTTGTTGTGAATCAGGGATGGCACAGTGAAGCCACTGATGGACTGAAAGGTGCTTGATCTCTCCCTCTCTCTCTCTCTCTATCTACTTTCCTATCTATCTAGCTGTCTAGTTTTCAAGCTATTTGTCTATCTATCTATCTATCTGCCTGTCTGTCTGTCTATCTATCTATCTATCTATCTCTCTATCTCTCTATCTCGCTATCTCTCTGTCTGTCTGTCTGTCTATCTATCTATCTACCTACCTACCTACCTATCTATCTATCTATCTATCTGCAAGATCAAAAACGAAGAAATTCTGCGAGACTTCCTTAATGTTTGAACATTACAATACAACGTCCAAAACGAAACAATTCTGCGAGACGTCTTCATTTTTTGAACTTGACAACATCCGAAACGAAGCAATTCTGCGAGACTTCCTTCAAAAATGGAAAGTTGAGTGCAGAGCTGACAGCCTCGTACCAATGCGTTTTGCGATTTTTCCAGTCCACCTGTCTAAAGTACTGCGCCTGCCACGGAAAATTGATGCCAGGTCATACGAAGTGCTGCGCCCGTCACGCAAAATCATCTTAGCAAACCTGCACATCTGATACTCCAAAATGCAACCCCTCTCAGGAAATCAGCGCCCTGACCTCCTAACATCTCTCATGAACATGTCTTTTGTACTGTGCCTGCCACGGACAATGCATCTTTGCAGATCCTCTTCAAATGTCCCATGCCTGCCATCGTTTTTGGAAATGCTAAAAAACCCTCACGTTTTGCTCACTTTTGAAGAGGTGCACAATCCTTCGCGCCTGCCACGCGAAACGACATCTGAACCTCCAAAAGTGGTCCGAACCCCTAGCGTTTTTAAGATTTTGACTTCGAAATGTGCTTCGCGCCACACACCGTGCACTTTTTCGACATCTCAACTTGCAAAAGTGGTCCGACAATGGTGTGTTTTGTACATTTTGACTTCGAAATGTGCTTCGCGCCACAGTGGCGTGCACTTTTTCGACATCTCAACTTCCAAAAGTGGTCCGAGGCTGAAGTGTTTTGTACATTTTGACTTCGAAATGTGCTTCGCGCCACAACGGCGTGCAATTTTTCATCTCTCATCTGGCCAGCTGGCTCCGCACCGGCCGCTTTAGCGAGCCTACTTTTCGACCCTCCGGAGCCACAAATCATTGGAAAAACGCAGTGTTTCGCAACTTTCCTACCTTTTCCCGCATCTGCATCTTCTTTCTTCTGACTCTTTCTCTTCTCTGATCTTCTCTCTTCTAATCTTTCTCTTCTCTCTGCCTCTGCCCTGCTCTGCTTTTCATCTGTCCATATTGTAGGAAGTTTGACTTCTAAACTTCCTTCGATGAATGATTTGCCCACTTCTTAAGGCTATGGCTCGATTACATTCCTTAAATTCAACATCGAACCCCACTGTTCAAAGTGTGGGAGAGGCCCTCTGGCTATGACTAACAGTTTGCTATGGAACATGGGCCATTTGTAGATAAACATTGACAGGATGATTTCTCCATCTATAAAACAATTATTTTCCATAGCTATCACCATGTTTGTTGATCAAGTCAAAGCCTGTCTTGTTCTTAAAAACACCAATTTATTGCATGGATTCCTTAGCATTCTTGGATGTGCTTAACGGCCCCTCCAAAACCACAAAAGCCAAACAATTTCTCCTTTTCTCGTGGATTACTCAATAGGATTTTCGGGTACGGCATGGTGAATTTGTCCTCGCAACTGCCGATTTCCACAGATGGGTTTGGACACGCCCAGATGGGCATGAGTCAGAATCTTGGCACCCTGATGAACGCTCAAAAAAAACAGATGAAGCCCATCCCTATGCCCGTTCAAAAAACCGAATTCCCAACTTTCATTTGTTTCTGCTCTACAAATAGTGTTTCAAACTCATCTAAAGATATCTGAAATCTAAAACCACGATTTTCGAATTCAAAGCAGTTTGATCCGACTAAACATATCTAAGCCAAAGCATATCTGATCGAAACAAGTCTAAACCAATATTTTTGATGCTTTGACTCGCTTTGACTTCTTATCAAGTCCCCATGTTCGCTCCAAAAACAACGCTTCTCTCCCGCAGCCTCAGAGCTCAAGAATATTAGTCTCCTCAGCCTGGCTGCGACAAAAACAAAAGTCGTTGTTAAAATATTGGTGGGTCATGGTTAGCACATGTGGGCTTCCAAGTTTGAAAAAGTGATAGTTCAAGTGATCTACCATCTGGTTAACTGTCCCATAACTATGGAAAATCACCATTTAATAGCTGGGAAATCCACTATTTCAATGGCCATTTTCAATAATTAGCTATCTTGGCATAACCAGTGATCTATGAAGGTTTCACCAAGGTTTACCACCATAACTGCAATCGCCAAAAGCGGCACGCCTGACTAGGCTGACCTGGAAACGGGAGGCATGACGACAGGAAAACCGGGAAACGTGTTTGCATTGCATTCAACAGGGAAAACCCAGCAGGTTTGGGGTATTTCCAAACATATCAGATCACATCATCATTCATAACTTGGTGGTTTGCTGATCCTCTGCTAAACGTTTAACTAGGCAGGATTCATCAATCCTATATTCTTTATAAAATCGATCCAATCTAGCAAACACTAAGGAAACACATGTATGGCTATAATCCATAAGTTGGTTGCGCCCTTCTATAAGCCCACCCAGTACCCATGAACCAAACATTCAGCAGGGTCTACCTAGCCGTTGCCTCACGAACAACTGATGGGATGTCATAGCTGGCTCCTGAAATGCTGTATCAGCTGGGTTGATAAGTCTTCCTCATGAATCTTTGGCTGAAGCTGAATCCACCCTCATCATGATAATTTTCAATCAGCAATGATGGGACCTCGAGCTACATGAGCTTCCCAAAAGCTTTCCGAAAAAAATAAATCATCAAATAACCTCACTATTTTTTGGCAAACTGCCATGTTTGTCCCATTTTTTGTCCCATTGAATCTCCAGAACATACCATAAACACTTCCCAGTCATGGGTGGTTTATGACATTCTTTTACCCACTGATCATTACCATTGACATTAATAGCCCATTAATCACCATTCATCACCATGAACCATGAATATAACCATTCTTAACCACTATTAACCACCATTATATAATCATTATTAGCCACTATTAACCACCATTAATCACCATTAACCACCATTAACCACTATTAACCATCATTAATAATCCATTAGCCATAGCCATTCATCATCATTAACCATGCATAATCCATACCATTGGGGTGCAGCCATACCATGGCCGCTCCGCTGAGCCACTCCGCCCACTCCGCCTTGGGAATGCCCGCGCTCAGGGCTATGGCCCTGCACAGTTTGGCTGGGCTAATCATTTATATGTTATGATACTGAGGTGATATCAATAATGAGGTGATATCAACAACAATAATGTTTGATCACTCCTATTATTGGAAAGGATAATTGATCAAGATAATCTAAGATGATAGTTGATCGATTTATCGTTATCCTCATAAGTTTATTATCATTCTGAAGTGGTGCTATCTCCATCTATCATTTTCACATCCTACATTTCTGGACTGCTTCACCGAATGGTTGTTTTGTTCTTCGAAAAGATGCTTCACCAAAAATGGCGGCCAGTCAGTTGAGATCATCCTCATTGAAACCATTTTTTAGATATAACCATCAACCGTGGTGACCGTGGTGATCGTGGTGATCGTAAGTTCCCCTTTAAAATGGTTTATGCCACATATAATCACATGTGGATATACATATGTATATATACATATATCCATATATAAATAAATGTGTAAACATGCGTGTATATAAATATATTTAAACATGTATATTAGTGCATGTATAGAAATTAAAACAACATATATGTTACATGTTTATATTTTTATACAGTAAGTATAAGTAAATAAATATATGTATATATATATGTTTGTATTTAAATAAATATGTATATATATAGATGGCTACATAATTGTGGTTCCGAACCATCAACCCATAGCTTTTTCATGTCTTCAAGCACCGCCACATTCCGCGTTCACGTCGCCTTAAAGGTGGGACCGTCGTCATCGCCGATGTCGAACAAGGCCGACATCGCCGTGGTGTTGACGGATTTCCCCATGGGGCTGGAGTCGAAGACCTGGGGATGCTGACTGGATGTAAGGTGACTGGGGTAATCTCTGGTAAACTAACAGTTTGCTAAAGAATTTTGCCATAGAAATAGCTGATTTTCCCATGAAAAAATGGTGGTTTTCCATAGTTATGGGACAGTTTACCAGAGTGTAATCTCAAGAATGATCTGGTCATGGAAAATCTAACATGTTGAAAAATCATCTTTATGCTTCCCAAATATTTTGAATGTATTTCATGGGATATTTTGGGTCACAGAACCAGAATGAGGGAATCTCGGCGTTTTAGTTGATCCGCCAGATTTTTGCTGATGATATTATCACCCGTTTTGGCCCGAACTCAAGCATATTTACTGGGGGGTGAGCTAACATAGAATGAGGTAGAACTGGTACGTATTCATTCTATTTTGGTTTCACGGAGGGTACTGTAACCAATATCGGGGGCCGAAAATATGGAGATTGGGATCAATGGACTGAACTAAAAACAAGCAAATCAATGAATAGATGAATAAATACATATGTAATTAGAGGTATGTACAAATATCAAAGGACAATTTTGCATATTGACGCATCTTGACCGGCAAACAGAACATAAAAATAATCCCCGGATCTTTTCTATGTACCGATATGATCCAAAGAAACAAATCACCCGAGATATGGACCATATTGGACATCGGCCAACAACAATGAACCAAAATCACGGCACATTTATAGCAACGCTTTACCTCAGTCTTATCAGTAGGAGTTGCCCCCCATCGTTTGTCAAGACGTTTCCAGCCCCAAATGGGGTAGCCTCTGGTAAAATAACAACACTGTGGAAAGATCCACCATTTTTAATGGAGAACTCCACTATAAATGACCATTTTCAAAAGCTTTCTCCCGAGAGCGTCTGAGCGAAGGGCTCTTCTAATAGTGGGGGTCTGTCAAACATTCTCACATCTTCACATCTTCTCATCCTCACATCCTCACATCTTCACATCTTCTCATCCTCACATCCTCACATATTCACATCCTCACATCTTCACATCTTCACATCTTCTCATCTTCACATCTTCTTATCGTCACATCTGCTCATCTTCACATCCTCACATCTTCACATCTTCACATCTTCTCATCCTCACATCTTCTCATCTTCACATCACGTCTTCACATCTTCTCACCTTCACATCTTCTCATCTTCACATCTTCACATTCTCTCTTGCCCTCTTGCTCTCTTGCCCTCTTGCTCTCTCCTTCTTTTCAATTTCTCTCTTAAAGGCGCGGGGCAGTGCCAACGAGACGGCACGAAACGCAACCCTTTCGCACGAAACGAGGTTCGATCGCCAAAAAGTGTGGTAAAATTGCGATTTTACAACCTAGGACCTAGGCGGCAACCGTTTCGCACGAAATGAGGTTCGATCGCCAAAAACTGGGGTAAAATTGCGATTTTACAACTTCCGCGGCAACCCTTTCGCACGAAATGAAGTTCGAGCGCCAAAAACTGTGGTAAAATTGCGATTTCACGGGTCCGGTCTCTGTGTGTAAAAGCGTCTGTGTGTAAAAGTCTCTGTGTGTAAAAGTCTCTGTGTGTGAAAGTGTTTGTGTGTAAAAGCGTCTGTGTGTAAAAGCTTCTGTGTGTAAAAGCGTTTGTGTGTGAAAGTGTTTGTGTGTAAAAGCGTCTGTGTGTAAAAGCCTCTGTGTGTAAAAGCCTCTGTGTGTGTAAAAGCCTATGTGTGTGTAAAAGCGCCTGTGTGTAAACGTGTCTGTGTGTAAAAGCGTTTGTGTGTAAAAGCGTCTGTGTGTAAAAGGGTCAGTGTGTAAAAGAGTCTGTGTGTAAAAGTCTCTGTGTGTAAAAGCGTCTGTGTGTAAAAGTGTCTGTGTGTAAAAGCTTCTGTGTGTAAAAGCTTCTGTGTGTAAAAGCGTCTGTGTGTAGAAGCTTCTGTGTGTAAAAGCGTCTGTGTGTAAAAGTGTCTGTGTGTAAAAGCGTCTGTGTGTAAAGGCGTCTGTGTGCAAAAGCCTCTGTGTGTAAAAGTATCTGTGTGTGAGAGCTTCTGTGTAAAAGTGTTTGTGTGTAAAAGCGTCTGTGTGTAAAAGCGTCTGTGTGTAAAAGCGTCTGTGTGTGTAGAAGCATCTGTGTGTGTAACAGCGTCTGTGTGTAAAAGCCTCTGTGTGTGTAAAAGCCTATGTGTGTGTAAAAGCGTCTGTGTGTGTAGAAGCCTCTGTGTGTAAAAGCGTCTGTGTGTAAAAGTGTCTGTGTGTAAAAGCTTCTGTGTGTAAAAGCGTCTGTGTGTAGAAGCTTCTGTGTGTAAAAGCGTCTGTGTGTAAAAGTGTCTGTGTGTAAAAGCTTCTGTGTGTAAAAGCCTCTGTGTGTGAAAGTGTTTGTGTGTAAAAGTCTCTGTGTGTGAAAGTGTTTGTGTGTAAAAGCGTCTGTGTGTAAAAGTGTCTGTGTGTGAAAACGTCTGTTTGAAAAGTGTTTCTGTGTAAAAGTCTCTGTGTGTAAAAGCTTCTGTGCGTAAAAGCTTCTATGTGTAAAAGCGTCTGTGTGTAAAAGTGTCTGTGTGTAAAAGCGTCTGTGTGTAAAAGCTTCTGTGTGTAAAAGCTTCTGTGTGTAAAAGCGTCTGTGAGCGTCTGTGTGTGTACAAGGTTCTGTGTGTGAAAAACTTTACGAGGATACGATGCACACTATTGTCTTGTACTTGCAAAATGTCTTGATACTACTCTTCTCGTCTGCCTACAATAGATATTTAATATATTGTCTTGTAATAAAGTTTCTCAATACTAACAACAGAAGACCCTGCTCCTCCACGCTCTCGGGCCATCCGTCGTCTAGTTGTTTGTTTACCAGAGGGTAAAACATATTCCACAACAATGCCGAGAATTGACCCATCAACCAAGCTGTACCCAACTCTCCGCATTTCCTCAGCTGATGGTTTTTTCCGTCTGTGTTCCCCACTTCCGCCGCGCTGCCGGATAGTCCTCGGGGCGACAGTGAAAGTAAAGGTGGCAAAACAGCAATTATCAGTAATCACTATGTAGATTTGCCACCATGGTTACCACTTACTAATGGTGCCACCATGATAATTGCCACCTTGGAAGTGGTTAATTGCCATGGTCAGCAAGCTCCCCAAGTACGGCTTTCCAACTAACTGACATTTTCAGTTCAATATGACAGGTGTGTGATTGAATCGTTGAGTGTCACCGACTGGATATGGCCACGGTCGAATCCAACACATCTAGGTTCGAAGGCGTACAACACCAGTTGTACTTACATACCCCCTAGTTGAATGAAACTACATCAACGTGTTGAGTTTCGATATTCATGGGAGATTTTCCATTGCCATGTTTGATTACCAGATGGTAAAATGGAATTGTAGAAAACCCTACATGTGTAGATGGTTTTCCTGCCGGAAATCAATTTCTTGAAGGATTTGCCAGACATAGCAGCCATGGCAAAATATCACGTTTTAACTAGCCAGGGGAATTCAGTGTTCTCCTTGGTGGGATGTCCATGCAGGTGGTAGCAGTGGTTACCATGGCTGGTAACCATACCTCGCCCTTGAGCTCCTTATCAAATACAAGTGGCTAGTAAGTAGTTCATTGATGGCTAATCCATGCGCCAACAGCATTCGGAAAATGGACGGTTCATATCCATTTGATCCTATGTTTGCTTATTCCCGATTTTGTTATCACCATTGCATTTGTTGGTTTGTAGATCCCATCCTCTATAGCTACAAGTATCATAAACCATAGTTATTGGAAGATAACCCAACTTAGCAATCCAGCGGGGCCTGCTTTGTATTCTATTACCCCATGTACTCCTATTGGGTTTAACTCATATCTTCATCCTTCACCCCAGTCGCGACGACCCGCGTGCCACACGCCTCGCTTAGGCATTCGCAGATCGTCGCAATGCTTTAGGTCCACCTGGGACTCGCAGATCAGCCCATCGAAATAGGGACCCATGAAATATGATGGAGTTGATCAGCAAATATTGGAGTTATATATTTCGGGAAAAATGCACGAGGTTTTCTGTACCGTAGATGGTTCCTTTCAATGGAATTATTTCAGGAAAAATGCACGAGATTTCCTGTAGATGGTTCCCTTCATTGGATTCTGGGAAATAATTGGAAAATTAAATCTGCATATCCTGACTGGATTCGCCAAATATCAACAACCAGCTCAACAATATCAATTAACCATCCGAAAACGTATACATGTTTACCATGTCTACTGTATTCAAAGTGCCAGCTGTACGGCACAAGGCGGTGCCGGAAGTTTCAAAGATAGGAAACTATAGGAGAGGTGAGTTGTTGTGATGCATGGATGGCAGAGAGAACCCACTGATGGACCGAAAGGTGGTTGTGATTTTTGGAGTGGTTGCAGTGGTCACCTCACCCCCGACTGCAGGATGCAGTGTGGTGTAGCGAAGTGCAATGTAATCGTAGTTGTAGTTCTAGTTGTAGTTGTAGTTGTAGTGTAGTGGTAGTTGTAGCCGTAGTTGTAGTTGAAGTCTAGTGTACTGTAGTGTAGTGGTACTTGTAGTTGTAGTGTAGTTGTACTTGCAGTGTAGTTGTCACGTAGTTGAAGTTGTAGTTGTAGTTGTAGCTGCAGTTGTAGTTGCAGTTCTAGCGTCGATGTAGTAGTAGTTGTTGTAGTTGACTTGTAGTTGAAGTTGTAGAAGTAGTTGTAGTTGAAGTTTAGATGAAGTTGAAGTTGTAGTTGTAGTGGAAGTATAGTTGAAGTTGTAGTTTTAGTGGAGTTGAAGATGCAGTTGTAGTTGCAGTTGCAGTTGTAGCGTAGTTGTAGTAGTAGTTGTTGTAGTTGAATTGTAGTTGAAATGTAGTCGAAGTTGTAGATGTAGTTGTAGTTGTAGTGGTCGTTGTAGTTGTAGCTGTAGTTGTAGTTGTCATTGGAGTTATATAGTGTGGTGTAATGAGTGTAGCGTAATGTAGTATAGTTAGTTGTCGTGTAGTGTAGCTGTAGTTGTAGTGAAGTCTAGTGTAGTGTAGCGTAGTACAATTAGTGTAGCATAGTGTAATGTAGTGTAGCGTACTGTAATTAGCGCAGTGCAGTGTAATTAGTGTGATGTGGCGTTGTATATTTGGTCTTGTATTCCCCACATCACTTTGTGGGGTTCTTGTTTTTCGCTTTGCACCCGCCGCTCCCGTTCCCGCTCCCGCTCCCGCTGCGCGCCGCTCCCGCTCTGCGCCGCCTGTCACACCCCACTCATCACAGCACGACTCATCACACCGCTTGTGACAGCACAACCCATCATCACACAACTTGTCACAGCACAACTCGTCACACCACTTCGTCAACCAGAGCAGGCGCCGTACATAGGGCCTTCTGGAGGAGCTGGTGCGCGCGTGGGCGCCGCTGGGCTGCGGCTGGCTGAGCTCTGGGCTGGCTCACACACCATCTTTCACACACAACTTTGTCACACAACACTTGTCACACACCACTTTGTCACACACCACTTTGTCACACACCATCTTTGACACACCACTTTGTCACACAACACTTTTCACACACCACTTTGTCACACACCACTTTGTCACACACCATCTTTGACACACCACTTTGTCACACAACATTTTTCACACACCACTTTGTCACACACCACTTTGTCACACACCGTCTTTGACACACCACTTTGTCACACAACACTTTTCACACACCACTTTGTCACACACCACTTTGTCACACACCATCTTTGACACACCACTTTGTCACACAACACTTGTCACACACCACTTTGTCACACACCACTTTGTCACACACCATCTTTGACACACCACTTTGTCACACATCATTTTTCACACACCACTTTGTCACACACCATCTTTGGCACACCACTTTGTCACACAACACTTTTCACACACCACTTTGTCACACACACACACCATCTTTCACACACCATCTTTCACACACAACTTTGTCACACAACATTTTTCACACACCACTTTGTCACACACCACTTTGTCACACACCACCTTTGACACACCACTTTGTCACACAACACTTTTCACACACCACTTTGTCACACACCACTTTGTCACACACCATCTTTGACACACCACTTTGTCACACAACATTTTTCACACACCACTTTGTCACACACCACTTTGTCACACACACACACCATCTTTCACACATCATCTGTCACACACCATCTTTGACACACCATCTTTTACACATCATCTTTCACACACAACTTTGTCACACACCATCTTTGACACACAATCTTTCACACCACTTTGTCACACACCATCTTTCACACACCATCTTTGACACACCATCTTTTACACACCATTTTTCACACACCATCTTTGACATACAATCTTTTACACACCATCTTTCACACACAACTTTGTCACACACCATCTTTCACACACAACTTTGTGTCACGCCCCCTTTCACACACCATCTTTCACACACAGCTTTGTCACACACCATCTTTCACACACTTCCTCTTTCACACACCACTTTGTCACACTTCCTCTTTCACACACCACTTTGTCACACACCATCTTTCACACACCGTCACAGACCATCTTTCACACACCACTTTGTCACACACCACTTTGTGACACACCGCTTTGTCACATAACACTTTTCACACACCATCTTTCTTTCACACACCACTTTGTCACACACCATCTTTCACACACAACTTTGTCACGCCCTCTCTTTCACACACAACTGTCACACACTATCTTTCACACACAACTTTGACACACACCATCTTTCACACACCATCTTTCACACACCGCTTTGTCACACACCATCTTTCACACAACTTTTTCACACACCATCTTTCACACACCACTTTGTCAAACACCATCTTTCACACACCATCTTTGACACAACATCTTTGACACACACCATCTTTCACACACTGTCACACACCATCTTTCACACACCATCTTTCACACCACTTTGTCACACAGCACTTTGTCACACACCATCTTTCACACATCGCTTTGTCACACACACCATCTTCCACACAACTTTTTCACACACCATCTTTCACACACAGCTTTGTCAAACACCATCTTTCACACACCATCTTTGACACAACATCTTTGACACACACCATCTTTCACGCACTGTCACAGACCATCTTTCACACACCATCTTTCACACACCACTTTGTCACACAGCACTTTGTCACACACCATCTTTCACACACAGCTTTGTCACACACCATCTTTCACCACACCATCTTTGTCACACACCATCTTTCACCACACCATCTTTCACACACACAACTTTGTCACACACCATCTTTCCTCCACCTCCTCCTTTGTCTTTCCTTCCTTCCCCGTCCCCGCTACAACATTTCTTGCTCATTATTGGAAGAAGTTGACTTGTGGGGTTATCCGGTCCTTTTATTTGTAGTTGTAGTGGTAGTGTAGCGCAGTTGTAGTTGTAGTTGCAGTTGTAGTTGCCTATTTATTTATCTATCTATCTATCTGTCTGTCTGTCTGTCGGTCGTCTTTCTGCAAGTTTGAAAACGAAGCAATTCTGCGATTTCTCATTTTTTGAGCCATTCTGCAAGACTTCCTCAATTCTTGAATATGGCAGCATCAAAAACAAAGCAATTCTGCGAGACTTCCTTCCATAATGGAAAGTTGAGTGCAGAGCTGACGGCCTCGTGCCAATGCGTTTTGCGATGTTTCCACTCCACGTGTCTAAAATATTGTGCCTACCACGAAAAATTGAGGCCAAGTCATACGAGGTGCTGCACCTGTCACACAAAATCATCTTCCCAAAACTGAAGATCTGATGCTCCAAATGCAACCCCTCTCAGGAAATCAGCGCCCGGACCTCCTAACATCTCTGATGAACATGTCTCTTGTACTGCGCATGCCACAGAAAATGCATCTTTGCAGATCCTCTTCGCCTGTCCCGCGCCTGCCAACGCTTGTGAAGCTGCGACAAAACCCTCATGCTTGGCTCACTTTTGGCAAGGTACCGAATCTCTCCCACCCGAAACGACATCTGCGCATCCAAAAGTGGTCTGAGGCCGTCAGTTTTTTACACTTTTGACTTGGAAATGTGCTTTGCGCCACACCGGCGTGCACTTTTTCGACATCACAACTTCCAAAAGTGCTCCTACCCTGGTGTTCTTTGTACATTTTGACTTGGAAATGTGCTTTGCGCCACACCGACGTGCACTTTTTCGGCATCACAACCTCGAAAAGTGCTCCTACCCTGGTGTTCTTTGTACATTTTGACTTGGAAATGTGCTTCGCGCCACAAAGGCGTGCACTTTTTCGGCATCACAACTTCCAAAAGTGGTCCGAACATGGTGTGCTTTGTACATTTTGACTCGGAAATGTGCTTTGCGCCACAAAGGCGTGCACTTTTTCGCCATCACAACTTCCAAAAATGGTCCGAACATGGTGTGCTTTGTACATTTTGACTTGGAAATTTGCTTCGCGGCACATTTGCGTGCACTTTTTTGACAACTCAACGGTGTGCTTTGTACATTTTGACTTGCAAATGTGTTTCACGCCACAACGGCGTGCAACTTTTCATCTCTCATCTGGCCAGATGGCTCCGCACCCGCCGCTTTAGCAAGCCTACTTTTCGACCCTCCGGAGCCACAAATCATTGGAAAAAGACAATGTTTGGCGACTTTCCTGCCTTTTCGCGCACCTGCATCTTCTTTCTTCTCACTCTTTCTCTTCTCTTATCTTCTCTCTTCTGCTCTTCTCCTCTCTGACTCTTCCCACCTCTGCTTTCTCTCCTCTCTGACTCTTCCCGCCTCTGCTTTTTCATCTGTCCATATTGTCGGAAGTTTGACTTCTAAACTTCCTTCGAATAAACGCATGTGGTTGTACAAACAATATCATGGACAAAACTGTTGATAAATTCATTTGGGTGGCAAACTGATCACTGCCAAATTGGTTAAATGCAAATCCCCTATATACAATCGTTTATTGTGCCAAGATATGTTGGTTTGAGAATGGAAGGGTGCCGGGTACCCACTGGGAAACATGCGGGTCCTTGAACACGCAACCATCATGGGAAAATAAATATCTTGCAACCTCCTTAATTCTTAGTATCTATCTCAATCATTTCTCATCCAAAACCCATTGAACATCCACCCAAATCAGCACAGTTTTCCGTTTGTCCCACCGATTAACATCCAGAGCGAGAATAGGTTTCTTACAATTACAATTTCCTTTGGTTTTCACACTTCTTCTGATTGGTTTTTTGAATATCATGATGAGATGATAATACAATGGGATGTCATGGGATCCACAACCAACTTGACATTTCAATGTTGGCTATGACACCTTCGGGTAATTTGACAATGGACAGCCGCTATATAATTTCTAGTCGGTAAACCATTGCACTGAATCGGCCATGGCTTCCATAGCTATAACATGAAGGTTTCCATTAATGGGAGTACCCCTAAATGAGCAATTTTAGAAATATTTTCCCTTGTAAACCATCCATTTTTGGATACCCACATTTGTGGAAACCCCACATAATGCCAAATGATGTTTCATGATGCTCTACCCCGCAGACCAATCCAAAATCCGTACGGCAGTTTTGTGGGCCGAACCCATTCTGAACCCATCAGAAAGGGAACGCATTCTGAACCCCAAAGTGACCATGGATTTGGAGGACCATTTTGATGGGGGAAGTGACCATGGTGACTACAAATTCTGCGATTTCCACTCCAGCCCTGCTCCAAACCATCTCTTTTTTCTCAAGCATTTTCATCCGTCCATCATCCAGTCACATTGTTTCAAACTGCGTCTCATCTGCGAAGTCTTTTGGATGGCGCCGCCTCTACTGTCAGGCGGGGGGCGGGGGGACAGATTCTTTGATACATTGAAAGCACGAAAATCTGCAACCGGCGAATTTCAAAGACTACAGCCATTCACGACATCACTCGAAGTTTCCTGCGCAGAGTGCGGGATGGTCACACTCGTCAAAGAGCTGCAGTCAGCAAAAGCACAATCTCCAATCTGAGTCACAGACTCTGGGATGGTCAAACTAGTCAACGAGGTGCAGCCAGCAAAAGCAAAATCTCAAATCCGAGTCACAGACGCCGGGATGGTCAAACTCGTCAAAGAGCTGCAGCAAGCACAAGCACAATCTCCAATCTGAGTCACAGACTCTGGGATGGTCAAACTAGTCAACGAGGTGCAGCCAGCAAAAGCAAAAACTCCAATCCGAGTCACAGACTCTGGGATGGTCAAGCTCGTCAAAGAGCTGCAGCAAGCAAAAGCACTATCTCCAATCTGAGTCACAGACTCTGGGATGGTCAAACTAGTCAACGAGGTGCAGCCAGCAAAAGCATCATCTCCAATCCGAGTCACAGACGCCGGGATGGTCAAACTCGTCTAGGAGCTTCAGCAAGCAAAAGCACTATCTTCAATCTGAGTCACAGACTCTGGGATGGTCAGACTAGTCAACGAGGTGCAGCCAGCAAAATAGCAAAATCTCCAATCCGAGTCACAGACTCCGGGATGGTCAAGCTCGTCAAAGAGCTGCAGCAAGCAAAAGCACAATCTCCAATCTGAGCCACAGACTCCGGTATGGTCAAATTCGTCAACGAGGTGCATTCACGAAATGCACCAATTCAAAGTTGAGTCACAGACTCCGGGATGGCCACACTCGTCAAGGAGCTGCAGCCAGAAAAAGGTTTTTGTCCAATCTGAGTCACAGACTCCGGGATGGTCAAACTCGTCAAAGAGCTGCAGCCATCAAAAGCAAAATCCCCAATCCGAGTCACAGACGCCAGTATGGTCAAACTCGTCAAAGAGCTGCAGCCTGAGTCACAGACTCTGGGATGGTCAAACTAGTCAACGAGGTGCAGCCAGCAAAAGCAAAAACTCCAATCCGAGTCACAGACTCCGGTATGGTCAAATTCGTCAACGAGGTGCATTCACGAATGCACCAATTCCAAGTTGAGTCACAGACTCCGGGATGGTCACACTCGTCAAGGAGCTGCAGCCAGAAAAAGGTTTGTGTCCAATCTGAGTCACAGACTCCGGGATGGTCAAGCTCGTCAAAGAGCTGCAGCCATCAAAAGCATAATCTCCAATCTGAGTCACAGACTCCGGGATGGTCACACTCGTCAAGGAGCTGCAGCCAGAAAAAGCTTTGTGTCCAATCTGAGTCACAGACTCCGGGATGGTCAAACTCGTCAAAGAGCTGCAGCCAGCAAAAGCATCATCTCCAATCCGAGTCAGACGCCGGGATGGTCAAACTCGTCAAGGAGCTGCAGCAAGCAAAAGCACTATCTCCAATCTGAGTCACAGACTCTGGGATGGTCAGACTAGTCAACGAGGTGCAGCCAGCAAAAGCATCATCTCCAATCCGAGTCACAGACTCCGGGATGGTCAAACTCGTCAAAGAGCTGCATTCATCAAAAGCAAAATCGCCAATCCGAGTCACAGACGCCGGGATGGTCAAACTGGTCAAGGAGCTGCAGCAAGCAAAAGCACAATCTCCAATCTGAGTCACAGACTCTGGGATGGTCAAACTAGTCAACGAGGTGCAGACAGCAAAAGCAAAATCTCCAATGTCAGTTACAGACTCCGGGATAACGAGTCGCAGCAAGCAATGGCATCCTGCGAAGGCCTGTGGTCCGATGAATGCTTGAGTGCTAGGGATGCGTACGTCACGCAATTCCGCCACCATGTGGCCATATCTGTTGACACACTGAATTGCTGGCTTGACATAGAAGATAACCTGCATGTTGGCAGAGTCGAGGATAGACTCTGAGACGGTCGTCTGGAGGTCATTCAGCTTCTCCCCGTGAAGGAAAAACTCCACGGTGCTGAGTATCCGGGTGATCTCATCCTCTGAAGGATGGAAAGCCTTCACTTCTTCTTTCAACTCTCTAATGGTCATGTCTGGCCGCACTGCCAAGGTGCACACATTGCCACCGAGGAGTTCCACATTGATATTTCTTGCCATCGCAACACGCAAATTTTCCAAGCAATCTCTGGTCTTGAACCACTAAGGTGCCACCAAGCGATTCGTTATCCTCTGGCAATTGAACATGGCTATTGAAAATTGCCAGATTTAGTTCGTTGATTTACACCCTTTTATAGTAGTGGTGTTCCATTTCGCAAACTGTTAAACTTTACCAGGGGGTAGAACATCTTCAGTCCCCATTTATCACCATTAAACAACAAATTATCACCATTAAATCATCATTAGATCTCGTTAAATCCCACTAAGTCTCTATCTTGTTGCTTTACACCAGCACCATTTATTGTCAGTAAACCACCACTAAACCATCATTAACATGGGCGATCCACCGTTGTATTACCAATAAACCACAATTTTTCCATTATACCACTATATAATATATATATATATATACCACCAATAGAAAAATACTAAAAGTGTATAGTACCATATGAATAGTATATATTAACCAGTACTAGATGTAATATATATGCAATAGTACCATCACTAAACCAGAAAAGCTGGTTGCGAACCAGAGCTGCGCCTCGCCGAGGTCCTCGTCGGAAGTGGCGGCGCGTTCAATGGCCTGCCAGGCCTCGGTAACGGGTTGACCGAAGCAGGACTCGAAACGAATGGTTTACTACAACGGTTGGGAATGAACGATTATTAAAGTGGAATATATATATATATAAATATTGATATGACCATTTTC